TCAGCCCAGAGCCCGACGCGGGGCTCGAACTCACGGACCGCGAGATCGTGGTGACCTGGCTGAAGTCGGACGCTTAACCGACTGCGCCACCCAGGCGCCCCGATGAGGTGGTTTTAAACGCCAAGAGGCCACCTCCATTTTCCTGGAGGAAGGATGTCTGGCTCTAGTGTGAGAACCTCTACCAATTTGTCCAGCTCAGATGCCTCCTCTGCCTAGCTCTGTGCCAGCCCGTGGGAGAGCCCACAGGTGTCTCTCCACCCCCGACTGGAGCACCCTACCTACAGCCTGCGTCCTGGGACTCCCACGTGTGGATAGGCAAGGGACAGCAGGTGGGGGCTGGGTGGCAGGGCCTGCAGGGAACAGAACTGGCAGCTGGCTAGGGTAGACTTCAAGGTCAGCTTTGGCTCGGTCCTGCTTCATGTTGTCAGGTTCAGGGAGCGGGGAGGACGTTCCAGGCTGAGGGGACAACCTGCAAAGGCACAGAGGTGAGAAATGATGCTCCTGGACCTTAGTTTCCTCACCTGAAAAATGGGGACGTGCTAACCTACAGGCTTGAGGGCTGCCTGTGTAAAGCCTGGCCCATAGTGGGGCTGAGACAGTGTTGGTGGAGCAGACCGACCATAATAGTGTCAGCAAGGCCACGGTGTTCAGAGATCTGAGGACGCTAATGTGCCCACGGGGAGCTCATGGTGGGAAGCCGTGGGCGACGAGGCTGGGGCTGGCTCGTGGGCTGGCTGAGGGCCACAGGGGGCCGAGGGACACCATCGAAGGGGACACTGTGGACCGAGGGATACAGCTGCAACCACAGCTGCATGCTCTGGGCCACATGCAAAGCCCAAGTACTGGGTGACCCCCAGAGCAGGCCACCGTTCTCAAAGCACCCGTTCCAGGGACCCCTGGAGGGCTGCCTAGGGGGGTACGGTGCCTGCGGTTGCTGATGGCAATGAACCCGACGAAATGCTCACTGTCAGGTGAGCCCTGGGTCCTCTCTTTACGTAGGGGGCGTGCTGGAGCGGGGGAGCTGGGTGGCTATAGGGGGCCGAGGAAAGACCCTGGCCCGGGAGTCAGAGACACCTTCTGTGGTTCCCTGGCCTGGGTTCCCTCAGCCGCTTAGTGAGGAGTTTGGCCGAGACGCTCTCGGAGGCCCCGGCCGCCCCCGGGGCGGTGACCCGATCTGATCCCCCGCCCCCCGCCCCCGCCTCCCCACAGGTGCCCATGTGCAGCGACCAGCCGGAAGCCAAGCGTACTGTCTCGGAGGTGGTACGGGCCATGGGCTTCATGCCCGTGGATATGGGGTCCCTGGCCTCGGCCCGGGAGGTGGAGGCCATGCCCCTGCGCCTCCTCCCAGGCTGGAAGGTGCCCGCCCTCCTGGCCCTGGGCCTCTTCACCTTCTTCTACGTCTACAACTTCATCCGCGACGTCCTGCAGCCCTACGTGCGGGACGGCAAGAGCAAGTTCTACAAGCTCCCCGTGTCCGTGGTCAACACGACGCTGCCGTGCGTGGCCTACGTGCTGCTGTCGCTGGTGTACCTGCCCGGCGTGCTGGCGGCCGCCCTGCAGCTGCGCCGGGGCACCAAGTACCGCCGCTTCCCCGACTGGCTGGACCACTGGCTGCAGCACCGCAAGCAGCTGGGCCTCCTCAGCTTCCTCTGCGCCGCCCTGCACGCTCTCTACAGCTTCTGCCTGCCCCTGGGCCGCGTTAACCGCTACGAGGTGGTCAACCTCGCCATCAAACAGGTACGGCGCCCGCCAGCCGCCCTCGGCCGGTTCTGGCCCCGCCGCGCGATGCCGAGGGTCGGGGAGAGTCCCAAAGCCCGCGGCCACAGCGCGCCAGGCGGGGGAGACTGAGGAGAAAAGCCAGGCAGGGAGTAGAGTGGGAGCACAGCTTTGAAGGTGGGCAGGGGAGGCCTTGCCGAGAGGGGGGGGTGACAGGCGAGCAGAGGCGAAAGGAGAGGGGAGTGGCCAGTGGCGGCTGGCCCAGGGGGTAGCGAGAACAGAGGCCCTCCCGTGGGCGAGCTTCCTGGCGCATTTGGGGAACCTGGGGGAGCCCAGCGCAGGCGGGGTGGGCCAGGCCTGAGATGTTGAAGCCCCGACGGCCAAGGAAGGGCTTTGGCCTTAGACTCTGGGTGAAACCCGGAGCCGACGAGGGGTTCTGGGTAGGGGAGGTGATCTGCCTGACGTTTTACCTGTCTCACTCACGGCCTGTTGTCCATGCGGCACGGAGAACCACTCTTACAGAGGGGGTCAAAGGCAGGTGCTGAGAGACCCGTCGGGAGGCTGCACGGGAACCCAGACGGGAGCCCGTAGGGGCTTGGAGTGGGGTGGGAGCAGCCGGGGGCACGAAAGTACCGAGAGCATATTTTGAAGCCAGAGTACACAGAGTTTGGAAGCCTGTCGGTTTCAGGGTATGTGGGGTGGTCAGGGATGACTCCGGGGTTTTAGCCGGAGCGCAGTTGCCGGTCAGCGGAGGTGAGGAAGGCTGCAGGAACAAGGTGTTTTGGGGGGCGGGAGGGGCGTGCTCAATTTCATTCATTTAGGAAACCCACGTGGTGCTGTTTTTGCCAGAAGGATTGCCCCGGGGAATGGAGGGGCCCTCAGGCCAAGCCGGGTAGCAACACAGGCAGGGTCAGCTGGCACCCGTACCCACAGAAAAGGGCCCCCTGCTGCTCCCTCCTGGTTTACAAGCTCACAGGGCCTGGTTCTGAGTTCCAAGCTCAGGTCTGTAAAGCAACACCGCCTTTCTTTATTTTCCCCCATCTGCTCGATTCGACCTCCAGTCCCCCGCCCCCAGCCAGGGACACGGGTTCCTTCCCACCGTAGGCCACTCATCACTCAACGGAGTTTGGCCCGAGTGCCGGGGAGATACTTTTCGTCTACCTTTCCTTCAGCCCAGGTGGCCCCTGAAGTTTCTGTTGCTGCCTGGGTCGCAGGGATCTTACCAGGGCCGGGCCCTTCCCTGCCATGCGGCCACCTCCCCAGAGCAGGAGCTGGAGGCAAGGCTGGGCCGCTTCCAGAGAACCACAGATCCCAGCTTTTATTCCTCTGGGGGCCCCTGCTTCCCTGCTGGCAGCTTCTCAGATGCCATGGTTCTCCCCCACCCACAGACACCTGGCATCATTGTGCCTGTGGGCTTAGGCTTTCCTAAGGGAAAGGAAGAACCCCAGATTTCAGGCAGAGAAGCAATACACCCACTAGAAATGAGAAAAGGGGGAAAAAAAACAATAGTCACAAACCCTTAAGAAGAGCGTGCTATGTTCCAGGTACCATTCTAAGCGCTTTACGTACCGTGAATTCATTTAACCCTTATTCCTGTAAGGCAGGGGCTATATACTACCCTTATTTTATGGATGAGAGAAGTGAGGCACAGAGAGGTTATGTGGCGTGACAGAGTCACACAGCCTGGGATTCAGATCCCGCCATTCTGCGGACCCATGCTCATACCCTTCCTGCTTCCTGTGGGGAAAATAAATCCGAATTCACAGCTGAGCAAATGATTTCAGAACTCAGGTCATTCATTCATTCCCTGAGCACCGGCTCTACCAGGCCCTGGGGCCCCAGAAGGGAGTAAGACAGTCTGGTCCCTTGCCATAGCTGACATGGGGTGGCGTGGAGGCCTGAAGGCCAGAGTCCTAAACTCTTTGGCCTCCAGCATCGCTCATTAGCACAAAGACTTTGACCTTCAGCAAGTCACAGTCCCTCTTTTGTCCTCAAGGCCCTGATGTCGTGAGGCCCCTCCCAGTGCTAATGTTTTTGATGCTCTTTGATGAGATTTTCTTCTAAAACGAGCCAGCCTGCTCGGCAGGACGCTCTGCACGGCTCCTCGGGGACTGGCACCGTGTTTGCTGCCCGCAAAGGGTGGCAGGTGCTTCAAGCAGTGGGTGGAGAAGAAGGTGATGCCTCCTCCCTCCTAGAGCCCCGGGTAAACCCCTGCGCCCGCTGTACCCCCGTCCACCCTCTGATTGCCACTCTCTAAATTCTCTGCCCCGCCAAGGCTCCGCTTGATATTACGTTAACCCAGTTTTGCCACCGTGCAAATACCAGAGCGAAGAGGGGCGCGTGCGAGGTAATTTTCCCGAGGTCCACAGCCCTGTAGGGCTGCAGGTCCCCGACGGAGGTTGCCAGGCAACCATCACTCCCATAGGACACGATCACTTGGAGACGGTGAAGGCCTGTCATGCAAAGGGGCTTTACATTGTCCTACAGAGTTCTGGAGGGCAGAGCCAGGGCTGACAGAGTATGTCGGGGAGGAGGGGGGGGTTAGATGGAGGTGAGGGGTTGACACAGAACAGCCCGGAAATGGTGGGTCTCCTGAACCTGGGGTTGTTGGAGTAGAGGCTGGATAGTCTGTGGGTCAGCCACGCCCTCGGGCTCTAGGATGGAGGGCTGAGGGCTGAGGCTGTTCTGCCTCTTGCCTGTTCTTGCCAGGCTCTTGCCTGATCTGTGGCCTTTCCAGCCTGTCCTCAGGGGCCATCCTCTGGGGGCCTCCAGGCAGGCAGGCGGTCACCACCTCGGCTGCCCTACTGGGCCTCTGGAGAAAGGGACCACGTTAGCTGGGACACGGGAGACTCTGCAGGGGTCCCTTCCATCCCCAGAGTCTGCAGATTTGGAAGCAGAGCTACATCCCAGCTGTAGAGAAAGCCCCCGAGACCGTGTTTGTGAACAGTAGTATCGCCTAATAATTAATATTTGCGTAGCGCTTTCTGATTTGCTTGTGTGGCTCCCTAGGAGTGCGTTTCAAGATCAAAATCGAGATCAGAGGAAATGTTTTCTTCTTCCCCTCGCCCCAAACCTAGTCCAGGCTGTTGGAGAGTCTAAAATTTGCGTCTTAGCCGTGTCCCTGCTGAAAAGCGTTCAATAGTCCTGCACTGTCCTCGGGATAATGATAGACTCCTCACAGCACAGCTGTGCTCTCTCCCCGCTGCTCCTGTGACACTCAGGGCCCATGTTGTCCTCCGAGTGGGCAGAGCTCATTCCTCCTGGCCCAGACTCCCCACCCTGGGACACCTTGACAGTCTGACGAACTTTTATTCCTTTATTTATTTATTTTTTTAATGTTTATCTGTTTTTTGAGAGAGAGAGAGACAGAGCATGAGCCAGGGAGGGGCAGAGAGCGAGGGAGACACAGAATCCGAAGCAGGCTCCAGGCTCCGAGCTGTCAGCACAGAGCCCAAAGCAGGGCTCGAACTTACAAACTGTGAGATCATGACCTGAGCCGAAGTCAGACAGACACAACCGACCGAGCCACCCAGGCGCTCCTTTTATTCTTCCTTTATTTTTTTTTAAATGTTTTTATTTATTTCTGAGAGAGAGAGAGAGAGACAGAGCATGAGCAGGGGAGGGACAGAGAGAGAGGGAGACACAGAATCCGAGGCAGGCTCCAGGCTCCGAGCTGTCAGCACAGAGCCCAACGCGGGGCTCGAACTCACAGACTGAGAGATCATGACCTGAGCTGAAGTCGGACACCCAACTGACTGAGCCACCCAGGCGCCCCCCTTTTATTCTTCCTTTAACATCCAACCTCTGTTAAGCTCCTCCTGCCTGCCTGTCTCACCCATACCCACCTTTGTAATCTGTTGTATTTCGTCCACACTTCTGGGGTTATTATCATGCACTCCTTTGTAATCACTCATTTACAGGTCTGTCTTCTGCCCCCACTCAGTTCCACGACTGGGTCTTCCACCCCTTGAGGTCCACGGTTCCTAACACAGATTCCCAGTGCATGTCCGTGCCACTGTGAAGCCAATACCAGGCATCTCTTAGGAGGAGGACACATTGAGCGTAGGTAGGGCAAGAAGTAGTGTAACTGCCTCGCTGCCATTAAGAGCAACAGCACAGCCATTTATTTTACTAATCACCTACTGTGCGTCAGTCACAGGCTACTCATTTCACAAACATCATCCTTTTTTCCCCTGCAATAAACAAAGAGACAGCGGTGCGATTAGCCAGGAAGACTGCCGAGGGTCTCATGACTGCCCCTAGTGGCAGCATCGGCAGGAACGCCAGCCTTGAGATCGAAGCCATTCTCCCACTGCCAAAGACGGACTGCCTTTCACACCCTGCCTCCCCCTTCTCCGAGTTTGGCTGGTGGTCAGCACCACCCTCTTCCCACCCACCGCCCACCCTTGGGACGTGGAGAGGGACTTCAGCCACAGCCTCACTGGTCCTCCTGCCCCTGGGTCCTTCAGGATCTAGCCTTCAACGCACAGGGAAAGGAAACCCCACGTGTGAACGCCGCCATTCCATCCCTTGCTGGCAAGCACTACCCTGGTCATTCTCAAGGTGGCCAACTGGGTTAGCAGTAAACGTGGGAGAATTACCAGGAGAATGAGGAGCTGTCGAATCTATATTCCAGCCAGTTGTGTGTGACACTGGTCACTGGGGAGCCCACCAGATACAGCACAGTGGCCCAGGAGGTTAGTTAAGAGTCCCACAGGCTAGGGGGTGCCTGGGTGGCTCAGTCGGTTAAGCGTCTGGCTTCGGCTCAGGTTGTGATCTCGCGGTTCACAAGTTCAAGCCCCGCGTCGGGCTCTGTGCTGACAGCTCAGAGGCTGGAGCCGGCTTCGGATTCTGCGTCTCCCCCTCTCTCTCTGCCCCTCCCCTGCTTGTGCTCTATCTCTCAAAGATAAATAAACATTAAAAAATTTAAAAAAAAAATCCCACAGGCTATAGAAGGCAGCCGGGATACAGGTCCTCACACAGGTTCCTCGCCATCCATGGCTCCCCTGCCCACCTCACCCCTCCGCTTCGCAGAGTCACTGCAGAGTGGAAATATCAGAGGAAAAACACAAGACATTTTGCAAGCAAGTGTGGTATGTGTGTGTAATCATCCAGACTCTGACTTATGACATTAACTGCCTGATTTTACCGAAACGCAGAAAGGAATGACTAATGAGGTGTATCTGAAGAACAAACAACTTACAGGGAGATGACTTTACTTGGTGGCAGTTGTCAACACTGCGAAGGTGTGAGTAAGACTCGGAGCCCGTGACGCAGGGGGACCTCTCCGCCCTCTGCAGGGTAGTAGCGGTCAGACCCTTCCGGCAAATGCTGACACGTGCTCAGTACACAAGCACAGTCGTGGGATTTCAGACGTGGCCTCTTCTAGCCCTCAGCGGAGAAACAGAGGCCCAGAGCTGGGATTGGCCAGTCACATACAACTAGTGGTCAGGATGAGAACCTGGGTCCCCGGACTCCTGGTCCCTTAGTGGCTTAAAGACACCAGCGTGAGCCAACCGGCCCTAAAATAGAACAGAGGCGATCGTGTTTCTCAACTGCAGGAAAAGCACCGGTGGGGGGGGGGGGGGGGCCCCCGGGGGGAGGATGGCATTTTCTAGGTTTCTTTAAACTTTGTCCTATCAGGTTTTCAGCCATTTTGCTCAGCTCACCAGATTTTTTTTATTTTATTTTTTTTAACGTTTATTCAGTTTTGAGAGACAGAGAGTGAGGAGGGGTGGGGCAGAGAGAGAGAGAGAGGGAGACACAGAATCCGACGCAGGCTCCGGGCTCCGAGCTGTCAGCACAGAGCCCGATGCGGGGCTCGAACCCACGAACCGTGAGATCATGACCTGAGCTGAAGTTGGACGCTCAGTCCACTGAGCCACCCAGGCACCCCTCACCAGATTCATTTTTAATATTGTCTCTGGTAACTGGACTTGGGTTATTTTTTTCTTTCCTGCTGAAATAGTGTCTCAAAAACCTGTATGAGTCATTCTGTTTTGCACAGCAGAGACCTGCCGGCTGAGGCAGAGTCACATTTCCTGACAGAAAATACTGTTCCTCGGTCTGCAGCTGTAGCGCGAAAAGCAGTGGCATTTCGTGGTGCTTCTCAGAGAACACCTTGACTTCCAGGAACTCTGCTACCTGGTCTAGATGGAAAATGATAGTTCTGCTGCAAGGACCTTAATGGAAGCTTCCTCGTGTGTGCTGTTCATGGCGTGGCAGGCACGCGGGCACTCCACGTGGGGAGTCGGGGGGGGAGAAGTCTCTGGGCCCTGCAGGCCTCCCTGATGCGTGTGCCCTTTGAGCTCCACGGGGGGATCCCAGAGCTCCGTGAGGGCAGGTACCCTTGCTCCCGGCAGCCCAGGGCACAGCACACAGCAGGCGCTTCATAAGTGCTCACTGCTCGGCAATGGATGTCCGTCTTGTTGCCTGGCACAATGGTTGAGCCAAAGCTGTATTCCTCGGGCGGAAATGGGGGACAGAGTGGAAGATGGCTGGTGGCTTTGAGTCAGGAAGCGCTGAGGGCTTTAGTGTCTCTGCATGTCTTTGCGTGCGTGCCCTCAGCGGAAGCCAGTGGCCGGGGCAGCTTGGGGGAACAGGAAGGTAAAGGGTCGAGGGTAAGACAGTCTGGAAGGGGAGCCAGGCAGCGGAGGCATGAACCCATCTGGCTGAAGGGATTCCAAGCTAGCAGAGCTCTTCCTTCCTTTGGGGGATCTGGGGCCCGGAAAACCACGTGATATGGTCATGTTTGAAGGGTCTGTATGTCGTACTGACTTCTCGGACCCCTTGCCGTTAGCTCACGTGACTGTGCTGCTTCCCGGGCCCCGGGAAGCTTTGTGAAAGCCGAGACCCAGACTGCCCGGGTCCTAATCCCAGCCCCGCCGTCCACTACCCTGTGTGTCACCTTGGCAAAGTTACGTGATCCTCGTGCCTCATTTTCCCTCATCTATAAAATGGGGATCTCAGCGACCCCTACCTTGTGGCGTTGTAAACTGGGGGAGCCGATGCCTAAGAAGCACTTGGAACAGGACCAGGCGCACGTGGAGTGTGGCAGGCACGTTAGCCAGCATGGCGTTTCTCCAGTCCTAAAACCCCAGCTCGCCCACGCCCCAGGCCACCGACCTCTGCCACTGTGCTCACGGTTTTTCTTCCATCTCCATTAGGTCTTGGCCAACAAGAGCCACCTGTGGATTGAGGAGGAAGTCTGGAGGATGGAGATATACCTCTCCCTGGGAGTGCTGGCCCTCGGCACACTGTCCCTGCTGGCCGTCACCTCACTGCCATCCATTGCAAACTCGCTTAACTGGAGGGAGTTCAGCTTCGTTCAGGTAAGGTAGTTCTGCCTGCGCTAGTGAGCCCTAGCTCACTTCCTCAGCTTACGTTGGCCCCGACCCTCGTGTGCAAGCACCTTCCCTTCTGGGAACCGCCTCGGCTTTCACAATATGTGCAACAGGACAGTTCAGCCAGACGCCAGGGCCTTCCGGGGCCTTGAGGGCTCAGCCAAGTCTCTTGATAAAGGGGGTGCAGACAAAGCTCCGTCCTCATGACATCTGGGGAAGCCGGGTGTAGGCGCGTGACAAAATCAGACAACAGGGACGCCTGGGTGGCTCAGTCGGTTAAGGGTCTTGATTTCGGCTCGGCTCACCATCTCACAGTTGGTGAGATACAGCACACAGCCTGCTTGGGAGTCTCTCTCCCTCTCTGTTTGCCCCTCCCCCGCCCCCCATCCCTCTCAAAAGTAAATAATTTTTTTTTTTTTTTTTTTTAAAGAAGAAAAATTTAGATGACAGGACACTGAACCCCGGGCTAAAACATTCTCAGTTTCCACAATCCTTGAGCATCTCGCCCGTCTAGCTGGGATCAGTGAGCCTAGCCGGCCACCCGGCAACATCATCTCAACCTGGCCCTCCTGTCCCCTTTAGGCCCTTGATTCACACAGGGCAAAGAGGAGGTGAACATGAGGTTCACCAGGGTATAGGGGGTAAAACACAGCATTTCCCAAAGGACCACTGTTCCTCTGAAAACTCCAGAGGAAAGGAGGTCTCTTGTCAAATAAATTTGCGAAAAGATTTGCCTTCCCCTAAGAGCCTCACAGTGCACTTTGACCCAGTAGAGATTCTGGTAACGTCTACAAGACACCCACCTTGACTTATTTCACCATTAGCCCCTTCCCTCCCCCGTTTTTTCTTTTTTCTTTTTTTTTTTTGTTTTGTTTTGTCTTGTTTTTTTTGTTGTGATTTTTCAGATAACGGTTACTTACGCTGCAGCAAACACAGTTGAGGAGATGCCGCTGACGGCACAGGGTCTTTGCACCTGTATTAGTTCAGCAAATACTTATTGAGCGCCTACTGCATGCCAGGCGTCGTGTTAGGTCTGTGATGTGACAGGGAACAAGACAGGCACAGCCGCGTTGCAACTGAAAGGACAACTGAGACGGGGACATTTTTTTTTTTTTTATCTTTCTTTGGCATCTCCCACTGTTCTCTGCACAAAGTACGCGGTCAGCCCCCATGTGTTGGTGGATTAACTCATCCCCTCCGTGGATAGGTGCTGACTAATGCTGGGTTCTGCCATCGATACTGTATCAGGGCAGAGAACAGCTATCATATCCACCCCCATTATCAACAAAAAATCTGTCACACATCCTCTCTGTGTGGCGAGGACACGGTGCAGGATCTGCAGAGGGAGCATAAGAGCGGTGCTCTTACGTAATCCAAATTAATTGTTCCCGACTGGGGATGCTTACATACCCTAGAACAAAACAAAGTTGTGGTGGTTTTGTTTTGTTTTGTTTTTTAAGTGGATGTTTCTGAATCTCCCTGGCTCTGCTCATCTCCAGAGGTCCCCAGAGGAGTACTCGGGGCTAACGCAGGCCAGCATCGGAGGGGGGAGAAAGGAATTTTATTTATCTGCTGCTAATCCTCATGTGGCGCACACCCAAATCTGGGATTTTCCCGTTCCTGCCCGGAGTATCCTGGGGTGCGGGGTTCATCCACAATTAAAACAGATGGCGGGTTGCCCCCCTCACCAGCAAGTTGCTCCGTTAAGCAGCTGTAGATTACAGGCCCCGGCTCTGGCTGCCGGAGAAAGCCAGAGGATTTGATTTTGTTAGCAAAAGGTGCCCGGAACCTTGGCAGCCGCGCTCGACTTTACATATTTAAGAGTTGAAATCTAAATATGGAAGCCCCTCTGTCACTGCAAGAGCAGGAGGGTTGCGAGGCCAGGAGATGGGTAGGTAACAATGGCAGGGTTTTACTTGTGGAAGTCAAACGCCCGCGTTCCGTCCAGAAAATCAAACGCTCTGTCTCCCAAGAGTGCAAACCGTCAGCGCCCGGAGCCCGGGGTCCAGCTCTGCCTCCCCCTGTCCCAGCTCCAGCTGGGGGCCGATGACCTGCGCCCTCCCCCAAGCCTCGCTTTACACTCTTAGAAGATGGGGTTAATGCCTACAGAGGTGTCGTGAGCCACCGTGGGGGTGATATGTGGAAGAAAACAAAACGCATTTTGCTATTATGCTTGGGGCGTGTGGCCACATCTCCACTCTCCCTGACGAAGCTACCAACCACCCATTTCTGAGTTCACGAGATGCCGAGACACTCCAGCCCTGGGGGGTCCGAATGGTCCAGGGCAGTGTTGGCAAACTGGGGTCGATTCTCACTGGTGGGTCACGAAATCAATTTGGTGGATCGCAACCAGCTTTTTAAAAACGAAATAGGATGTTACAGAATGTCAGAGTGCCTTGCGTGTTCCCCGGATAGATATTTTTTCCAATAGTCATCTTTGCATACGTGGTTGTGTACTGGGCAGTAATGAAAAATGTGATGGTTCCCGTAAGCCTCCATCACAAAGTTCGGAGTCCCAGAACTCCCTTGGAGAAATAGATACCCAGACCACCCCTGACCTATGGACTCAGATGCCCGAGAAGTGTGTTTCTGTAAGCGCCTTGGGGGACTTAGGTGCACATGATACGTGTAGTAACCTCTGGTGGGGGGTGGGGGGTGGGTAGGGAGTGGTGGGGGACACACGTTGTAGAGCCAGCAGATCTGGGTTTCAGTCCCAAGACTGTGGCTGCCCCGTGAGATAGTTTCTTAGCCTGTCAGAGCATCAGTGTCCCCATTTATGTCTGTGCCCCCCCTCCTGTGGTCCTCAGGAAGGTGTGAGCTGAGGACACGTCAAATGCGCAATACATGTATTTAGTAGCGGCTGAATGAGTTTTGAGAGAAGTTGCAACCTTCCCCATAAGATTAGCACTCCCATCTCCTTCCGCTGCCACACATAACCACCGCAGGGCACTAAGGCTTAGAAACTGGCTGTTGGAGGGGCACCTGGGTGGCTCGGCCAGTTGAGTGTCTGACTCAGGTCCGATCAGGTCATGATCTCACAGTTCGTGAGTTCGAGCCCCACATCGGCTGGCTGCTGTCAGCACGGAGGCTGCTTCAGATCCTCTGTCCCCCCACTCTGCCCCTCCCCAGCTTGCATTGTCTCTCTGTCTCAAAAATAATAAATATTAAAAAAAAAAAAAAAAAAAAAGAGAGAGAGGAAGGAAGGAAGGAAAGAAAGAAAGAAACTGACCATGGAGAGCCATGGTTCTCAATGGGCTTGGCCTGCCTCCTGGGTCTATGGTTTATTTAGCTAAGAGTCACCAAAACGGTGTGTTGACTCCAGACCAGTGACTTGTGGTGGTGTTCATCCTTTTGTTCCTAGGACTGTTTTCAAAGTTTTGAATTTTGTTTGCTGTTGTTATTGCTTTGGTTTGGTCTCAGCTGTACTAACTGTTCTTACTAAGCCAGGTAGACGTGGTTAGATGGCAAAATACCCGGATCAGTGCAGCCCACCTGGACAGAGGAATCGGGGTTCTGCTCTTAGAAGCCCAGGTCGGCCCCAAAGGTAGGGGAACTTCCTGTGACCTTGCCCACTCCGGCCACCAGCCTGAAATAATGACAGAGACCAGCTCTGACCCCGGCTTTGTGAGCAGTTGGCCAAAGCCCCTCTGTGCCACAGTAACTGAGGACCAACAGAAGCCACCGACAATCTGGCTGTTTCTTTTTTGCTAACGAGCTTACGTATAATATAAATGGCTTTAGCTTGGGGAATACAGGCGTTGTCGGGATGGGGGCAGTGTGTGGGATCTTCACACTGTTCCCAAGGACAGAGAGTTTTAGGAAAACAGACTTGCTGAGATCATCCAGGCGTCCCATTGGGACTGCAAAGTCAAGAGGCCCTTTGTTACTGGCTGGTCTTTGACTTTCAGCCCTCCCTGTAAACCGTTAGCCCGAGGCTGGGGCTTGCTGCCATCGGTCAGCATGGAATTTTGGATAGCAAAAGGATGAGGATGTATGAACAGGAGCAGCATCCCTGGGCCCTCCCAGTGCATGTACACATGCCCAGCACAATCCATTACTCCAAACTAGGAGCTGGGGGTGGTGGCCCACGTGGGTAGGGAGCTTCGGGGCATGTTACTGAGGGAGACCTGAGGCCTCACTGGGGCTACAGGGGCTAGGTTCCTGGGCCTGAGTGGGTTCTCATTGCTGCAGTATCTGGGGCAGCCCCACAGTACAGAGGGCCCATCAAGGCCTCAGTGGATCTTTGTGGAAGGCAGGTATAGGGCCAGGTTGACCCTAATCAAATAGCCTGGGCAGAGGGCACACAGGGACTTCTCGACCTGATGCTAGAAAGGCTTGGGTGATGAGAGTCTCCTAAATTAGTTGTTCTTAGTCCTCCCCGCACAGGAGCATCATCGCTGAATTTCTAAAAGCTAACGATGCCTCAGCCCCACCCCAAACCAATCTAGTCTGCATTTCCGGGCCAGGCGTGGGCATTCATATTATTCCCCAGCCCCGCAGGCGATCTTACCATGTAACCAGATCTGAAAACCACAGTCCCAGACTCAGGGGTAAAAGGCACTTCCCAGGCATCTGAGCAAAGCCCAGGAAATCCACCTGAGTTAGGGAAGCAACAGTTTGGGGCCGGGGAGCTGGTTGAGGGACCCCAGCGTGGCGTCTGGCTTGTTCAAGATTTATTCCTGATGGTCCGTGTTGGGGGCCTTTCCTTCCCCCTCAATTTTTTTTTTTTAATTGTAGTAAAATAACACAAAATTTACTCTCTTAACCAGTTTTAAATGTTCAGTTCAGTGATATTAAGTACATCCACGCTGCGGTGCAACCCTCCCCACCATCCATCTCCACGGCTCTTTTCATCTTGCAACACTGACCCTGTGTCCCCATTAATCACTAATTCCCCACTGTCCCCAACCCCCAGCCCCTGGCAATCACCACTCCACCGTCTCTGACTTTTACTGCCTCACAGAAGTGCCCTGATGTAGTATTTGTCTTTTTGTGACGGGCTCATTTCACTTAGCATCATGTCCTCGGGGTTCGTCCATGGCAGAGCAGGTGTCAAAACTACCTTCCTTTTCACTTTAAAAAAAAATTTTTTTTTAATGTTTTATTTATTTTTGAGACAGGGAGAGACAGAGCATGAGCAGGGGAGGGTCAGAGAGAGGGAGACACAGAATCCGAAACAGGCTCCAGGCTCCGAGCTGTCAGCACAGAGCCCGATGCGGGGCTCGAACTCACGGACCGCAAGATCATGACCTGAGCCGAAGTCGGCCGCTTAACCGACTGAGACACCCAGGCGCCCCCCTTTTCACTTTTTTTAATGTTCATTTATTTATTTATTTTGAGAGAGAGAGAGAGCACAAACAGGGGAGAGACAGGGAGAGGGAGAGAATCCCAAGCAGGCTCAGTGCTGGCAGCGAGGAGCCTGAATCGGGAGCTCGATCTCACAAACCATGAGATTGTCACCTGAGCCGAAATCAAGAGTCAGGCGCTCGACCAACTTGAGCCACCCAGGTGCCCCCAAACTGCCTTCCTTTTTAAAGGCTGAATAATATTCCACTGTTTAGAGTGATGACACTTTGCCTATCGATTCATCTGTTGGTGGATGCTCGGGCTGCTCTCGCATTTTGGCTATCGGGCACAGTGCTGGTACCAGCATGGGGTATATACCAATCTCTTCAGGACCCTGCTTGTAGTACTTTGGGCGTGTATACCAGAAGTGAGAGTGCTGGAGCCCATGGTAATTGTATTTTTAATTTATTGAGGAACCTCCCTCCTGTCTTCCATAGCAGCTGCAGCCTTTCATATTCCCACCCACGGTGCACGTGGTCTCACATTTCTCCATTTACTCTCAACACTTGTTTTCTGGTTTTTTGACGGTAGCCATTCTAACAGGCACGAGGCAACATACTATGGTTGGATTTGCATTTCTCTAATGATCAGTGATGCAGAACATCTCTTCCATTGCTTATTGCCCATTCAGAGATCTTCTTTGGAGAAACTTCTGCTCAAGTACTTTGCCTACTTTTGAATTGGGTTGTTTGGTTTTCTTTTTCTTTTTCAAGTTTATTTGAGCGTGAATGGGGGTAAGGAGAGACAGAGGGAATCCCAAGCAGGCTGTGCACCATCAGCACAGAGCCTGACGCAGGGCTCGAACTCACGACCCATAAGATCATCACTTGAGCCGAAATCAAGAGTCAGACGCTTGATCAACTGAACCGCCCAGGTGCCCCTGTGTCATTTGGTATTCCGTTGTTGAGTTTAGGAGTTCTCTATGTATTGCGGATATTAATTCCAAATATTAACTCCAAAGGTGCTGGAGACCTTTGTAACCCCAGTCTTCAATATCAGTAGATCAGAACTAAGAAAAAGTTGGTGTGGTTCAGAAGTTGCTAAGAGATTTGGCGTTCTTGATAGATACTTCAGGAAGTGACGAGGATTTGGCTGTGACTCGCAGGCGGGGAGCCTTCCACTTGGGGACTGACCATTTTAATTTGACCTGACTGTGGGGAGTAGCACAGATCCAACGATGGCTTTTCCCAACAGGCTGTGTTGAGCCAGGAAATTGTTAAAGACGGGATAAAGACATCCTTGAAGTGGTTAAAAGCTAAGGAAAAACAGAGAAACTGGGGGTCTTCCGGCAACTAGTATTTTTCAGGGCTCAAAGATGCTGTACTTGGGAACCTCTCTATGAACGTATAGTGGCTAGTCATTAGAACATGTTTGTTTCTTCATAGAAGTACTGTAAGCAATTCTCCCAAACAACGTTCTTTCGCATACTGAGGTGTCACATCTTGGTGGGAGGAGCGAGAATGAGGCACGGTAGCAGAACTGGACCCACTTCGAGCCGTGCCTGAGGGGTGTGCGGACAAAACCGTCTCTCAACCAAACCCCTGGATCGATGCTGACAAGCTGGGCTGGAAGGAAATCCAGGAGGCCCAATTGTAGCTTCCCCGTGGAAAGCTCAAAAGCAACCCATAAAGAGTACCCTGAGGGACCGTCATACTGCCGCATGTCAATTAAACCCTTACAGGCTCTCCTTGGAGAAAATGCAAATGTGCGCACTGCTTGATAGGTCCCTGCTATTTTCATCCCTTATGCAGTGAACACAGGGCTCTCCTGCCCCAAATCTCTCGGTGGTTCCTCAGTACCGCCCAGTGCCTCTCCCCCACACCTGCCACGAAGCCCTAACCCTTGGTGCCCTGTGCTGTCCATCATCCCGGCTTCGTCTGGGGGGGGGGGGGGGCTGCAGAACGCCTATCCATACAGCGCTTCCCCCACATCTCCAGCTCCAGCTTTGGGAAGCACGGACTTCCCACTGAGGCTGATTTAGTGGCTTGCCCGGGGTCACAGTGTCACGCGAGACTATACCACCAACAGCAGACTCTGGAACACCTCATTTGTCGTCCACCAGAACTTGACCTGCCACAGAGTCCGAGGCTAGAGCTACAGATCAGCACTTCCCAGCTATTTACGGGCCGCAGCTTCCGTTTAGGTTTGTGACAGTCTCCCATCTCTGCACAGCCCCTTCCAGGCAGGAGAGTGCCCTAGTGGGGTTTCCCGCTGAGGTGTTCGTGAGTCGGGGCGTGGGCGGGAGGGGAGGGACCGGCACCCGTCAAGCCTAGGGCTTCATAAATAGCGTCAGGTGACCCGGCCCGCAGGCCTCTGAGCCGCTCTCACGACTGGTGCCAAAGCCACCTGCCAAGTACGCTTGTCGCTTTGTGTTTATCTTTAAATCAACCCAAAACCAGTTCACCTTTTTATCTCCCCTCATCTCAGGCCGAGTATTATTTGTGAAACTATGGCTTTGGTATGCTGGGAGACACCTGGTCCTCTAAGATACGTTAAAATGTGAGCAAAACTAGTACAATGTTCTTAAACGTCTTTGAACTGCACTCCACCGGAAGGAAGTCCTCTGGTGGCCGCCAGAAGAACACAGTTTGGGGAAGAAACCGCCTCACTTTATCAGACGCTCGTGATTCAGTCGGTCCTTACGTACCTGCAGGCTGGAGGCAGGACTGTCATTTTTCCGTTGGGGAAACTGAGGCTCAGAGAGTTCAGGGAGTAGTAGTAAGATCACGCAGAGAGGGGGTCATGGGGCTGGGACTGGAACCCAGAGTCTTGACTACCAAAGCAACCCCCGCCTTCCTTCCCCTCTGCCAGGCGAGCCGATGAGCCTTTGGTGGAATCGCCGCGTCTGTCGTCCCCCTGGCCCTAACTCCATCCTTCCTTCCTTCCACAGTCCACCCTGGGCTTCGTGGCCCTCGTGCTGAGCACCCTCCACACGCTCACCTACGGCTGGACCCGTGCCTTCGAAGACAGCCATTACAAGTTCTACCTGCCTCCCACCTTCACGCTCACGCTGCTGGTGCCCTGTGTCGTTATCCTGGCCAAAGCTCTGTTCCTGCTGCCCTGCTTCAGCCGCAGACTCTCCAGAATCCGGAGGGGCTGGGAGAAGGACGGTGCCACCAAGTTTCTGCTGCCGATGGACCACGCCCTGGCCCAGAAGACGAGCCACGTGTGAGGTGCCCGCGTCTGGCCCCAGAAAACCAGACACAGGCAGGACAGTGCCCTGGGCCTGTCGGGGCTGCTTTTCTCGATCGAGCAGGACGGTGACATTGTGCACACATTGGTGGTGTGAGGTCTGAATTCCTGGGACACCAATGTAGGTGGCAACATTCAGAATGGCACACACGTGTGTGTGTGTGATATATATGTTCATGTATATTTCATATATATATACATATATATATATAACAGGATTTGCATTTATATTTAAAGAGTTGAGCCCCTGAGATTTCAACTTGTAGATTGAAAAGCAAGAGCCAGATGTTAGAACAGCAGCTCACACTGTTGGGATCTCTGCAGAAATAGACACACACTCTTTGCACAGAAAAGGCAGTAAGAGGCTCGTACCTTGGTGGATTCCATCCATTTGTGTCCCACTCCCTTTTTGCTGCTTTTCCAAGGCTTTTGTCGAGTTGGAGCCCAAAGGGGGCAGATAAGAGCTCTGCCTGGAGCCTCATGGCATCACAGGGTGGAAGGGTCGCCAGCGAGCAGGGGGTGGGCTCCTCCCTCATTCACCTTCAGCGGCAGCAGGAGGTCAGGCGGTTGCTAGGACCCTGGGGGGTGAGCCTGGTGTCTGTGCCCTGGGAGCAAATTAAAGATGAGTCCTTTGCGGGGTAGGGGGTGCAGGGGGTCGGGGCCGAAGCTGTCCCCTCTAATCCTCCTTGAGCTGGGGAGATTTTTTTTTTTTTTTTTCCTGAAAGTCAGAAGTCACCACAGCGGCTACACATTGATCCTCCTGCAGGAGTGTGAAGTCACCTCCGCGTAGGAGCCACTAATGAACCGTCTTGAGAACAACGGTAATTTTTTTTCCCTCCTTTAAGTTGGTGATGACTGTTCTTCAAACCACTGTGCCTTCTCACCTTTCAGATCATTAGTTTGGATATCTCTTAGGAAGGCCCAGAGCAGGCCCTCTGGAAATCAGTTCGAGGGGGAGGGGGAAACGTAGCAGACAGCCCTCAGCATCACAGCTGAGGCTTTTCTCAGACCCGCCCAGGGCACCGAAGGACTGATTGTCCCCGCTGAACTGGTCCTGTGGAAAAACCTTGGGACCTCATCAGATGCCCTCTGCTGCTGCCAGGCAGAGAACCTGCCAGAAAACCTCACTGGCTCCAAGTTCCACACTGCTCCAGGGAAAACAGGGAGCACGTGGGCAATGGTGACCCCAAGGATCACCAACCCCAGTCAGTTACACTCAGAATGGTTGGGAGGGTCTTTTCTACCAAAGCTGCAAACTCGTCAGACTGCTGCCCCAAAGCACAAGAGGCTGGACCCCAACCAGGGCCGCAGGACACGTGTCCTCGAAGCCCAACCCTTGCTGGTTCCTACTGAAACTGCTGTGATTTCCCCTGTGGATAAATAGCTGTTCTTGGCTGAGCCCCCCGACCCCAGAACCAGGATGATCTGTCCTCTCCACAAAAAAAAAAAAAAAAAAAAAAAAAAAGGGACCTGTAGCCACAGAGGGGACAGGGTCCCAACGGAAGACACGAGTGAGACAAACACTGACCTCTGCTCCAAATGGGGAGTGTGGGTCTTCTGGGCCACAGGTATCTTAGGAGCACAGTCGAGCCAGCAAGTGCTACGAGAAGAGGATGCCCCTGCCTCCCCCAGAGAGGCTTCATGAGCTCATGTCTGCAGAACGCGTTAGGGTCTTTTAGTGAAAAGGGGGTGGAAAAAAAAAAAAAAGCCAAGTGCAAGAGTATCTCATTAGGCCGGTGACTGATGGAGGGAAGGTGGCGCAGGCGAAGCTGTCTGCTTCCTGCAGATGTTTTCCTTCTGCTCCTGCAAGGCTGAGCTGCAGAAGTTTGCCTTCCACATGGGCCCCGATGAAGCGGCGCCGTGATCCTCGGAGATGCTCGCTGAAAAGGAGGCAGGCGAAGCACAGATTCCAGCACTTGCTTAACACAATGAGGGCCCTTCAGTGTCCTGCTGATTGGAAGCAAGGAGAACATGGGCGACTGGGATCCACCAGGATCTCCAACCCCAGGCAGTACTGGTGGCCTGCCTTCTCTGGCCCTCCTCCCTGGGCCCAGGGAATTTCCTTATACCAAAGATGCTGACACACGGCAAATTCTAGCATGTTCCGTCCCCTTCCCTGTCCACTTCCTGCTGCAGGTGCTCCTAAGAGAAGAAAATGGTTCCGAGGTGGGGGTGGCAGGAGGGAGCAGGTGCAGCGGGGGACCCGGCCACCCACCAACTGGACAGTCAACTCATGAAAGGCGGGGCGGGGGGGGGGGGTTGTGTTCTGCCTTGATCTGGTGTCTGCTGCTCTTCCCTACCTCACCAGGCAGCTGGCAACAGCACCCCCCATGAGAGTGGGTCATTCCCTTTCAGCCTGGTAAATTCTATGTGCCTCTGGGTACAAAAGTGCCTGAACCAATGTGCTCCAGAAGTCCTAAATGCCATGGTCTGAGGTTTAAAATCAATGCCATTGAAACAGTCTGTGTATTTTGTGTTTGAAACCTTGTAGGGCTTGTCTAAGAAGCAACAGAAATAAACCCCTAACCTTCTGTGAACTTCAGGCTTTTATTTCTGTCCCGCCGATCACCTGCCCACTCATTTGCGCGTTGGCTCAGTGAGCCTTCTGACTGGCACTTGCTCTGAGGCAATATGCAAGGTGAGTACAGAATGATCTGGGCTAGAGCTCACCTCTGAGGAAGGGTAGACATGAAGATCTTCAGCAACGGGCAAGGAAGGACATGGAGGAGATCCAGGTGACAGTGTGGTGGCGGTGGCAGGATGCAGAGGAGGGGGGATGTGAAAGGGGCATCCAAAGCCCCTTCCTGGAAGGCTTCCTGGAGGGGGTGGTGCCTGTGCTGCGGTCAGAAGGCTGCAGCCTTGAATGCAGGTGAGAGCTGCAGTGCTTCTCAAACTAGAATGTGCACAGGAGCGCATGTGGATCTTGTTCAAACGCAGCTCTGAGTCACGGATCTGGGATGAAGCCGAACCTGTGCATTTCTAAGAAGCTCCCAGGTGCCCTGGATGGTGTTGATCCTCAGGGATCAGGGCTGAGATGGCTTCCTTCGTCCCCCTTGTGCTGCATCTCTGCCCTGTTACCAACTTCCCCAGGACGTTGGTCCCCTGGCTGCCCTGGAGAGCTGTGCCCCTGCACACTGCAGATGTGGCTGCAACCCCTGTTCTCTGAAAGGCAGAAGGAGCAAACGTGCACCCCACCAGAGCCACAGGCTTGCGCTCTGTGTGTTCCATGTGGGATGTCCCCTGGGTGGTCCCACAAGTCGGTCCTGGGTCCATCAAGAAAACAAGAACTCTTCAGAGAACAGCCACCTATCATGCAGTCAACCTTTTGTACTGAAGCAGAACTGGCTTACTGTATAGGGAAGAAAAAACCCATACGCACAAAGCAGTCTAGTGGCTAAAAACCATTTCCTGGGAACAATGACCGAAAGATGGCCTTGAGCCCCTGATAAGAGTTTTCCAAAGAAAGAACCATGGTCAGAAAACAACTTCACTACAATAATTTGCAACAACAAAACAAATCTCATGCTTGGAGTTTTGTTTTTCTGCTCTGTGTCCTTCCACACATCACGGTGAGAGAGTTAAGCTTTAAAAGTGATAGAATGTGGGGCGCCTGGGTGGCGCAGTCGGTTAAGCGTCCGACTTCAGCCAGGTCACGATCTCGCGGTCCGTGAGTTCGAGCCCCGCGTCGGGCTCTGGGCTGATGGCTCAGAGCCTGGAGCCTGTTTCTGATTCTGTGTCTCCCTCTCTCTCTGCCCCTCCCCCGTTCATGCTCTGTCTCTCTCTGTCCCAAAAATAAACGTTGAAAAAAAAAAATTTAAAAAAAAAAAAAAAGTGATAGAATGTCCATTATTAAGTTCTTGTGTGGTTTCACACAAGAACTAAGGGACAACCAGAATAACTCACCTAAGTTTAAGAGAAGATTTATCACTCAGCTACTCGATAAGCTGAATCTTTTCCGAAAGCAATGACGTGGGCCGTTGGAAGTACAGAAGCTTTCTTCTACTGTGTCACTGCCCTGGTGTCTTTACAAAGACGAAGCTAGAACCGTTAGAGCAGCAATTCTCAATCTTACCAGACCAGCACCAACTTTTTCTAATGAATACTTGAAAAACTATTTTTACTAACCTAAAATGAAATTCAGAAATAGAACCTACCTATGCATATACTTTTCAAATCAATATAATAAGGTCTTAATTAAAACATAAAATAGAGGGGCACCTGGGTGGCTCATTTGGTTAAGCGTCTGACTTCGGCTCATGTCATGATCTCACGGGTCGTGACTTCGAGCCCCGCGTCAGGCTCTGTGCTGATAGCTCAGAGTCTGGAGCCTGCTTCGGACTCTGTGTCTCCCTCTCTCTCTGCCCTCCCCAGCTTGCACTCTGTCTCTCGCTCTCAAAAAATAAATAAAAAACGTTAAAAAAATTAAAAAATACATTTATATAAAATGGAAATAATTTACACTAACATATACAATACTGATAATAGTAATTATAATAATCATACAGTAATTGGTTTCAGGAGACATACAATAATACTCAACATTGTTGACCTTCTTTATAACTGACATTTTATTTTTTTAAGTTTATTTATTATGAGAGAGAGAGAGAATCCCAAGCAGGCTCTGCAGTGTCAGTGCAGAACCCGACATGGGGCCTGAACCCACAAACCAGGAGATCATGACCCGAGCCAAAATCAAGAGTCCAATGCTCAACTGACTGAGCCAACCAAGTGTCCCTTTGACATTTTAAAGTAAGGGCTAAAGAGGGGCACCTGGCTGGCTCAGTTGCTTAAGTGGCCACTCTTGATATCAGCTCAGGTCGTGATCTTGGGGTCATGGGATCGAGCCCCATGTTGGGGTCTCCCTGACAGCATGGAGCCTGCTTGGGATGCCCTCTCTCCTCCCTCTGGCCCTTCCCTGCTTGCATCTCTCAAAATAAATAAATAAACTTAAATAAGGGATAAAGGAAGTGTGTGTGTGTGTGTGTGTGTGTGTGCGTGCGCATGCACACGCGTGCACTGAGTGTCTGAAACAGTATTGAATGCTGTGGAGAAGCAACGTGCAGAGCAGTAAGTGTCCACTGAATTTGAAAATAGGGAAACTTTATGGTGAGAATGTCGATGCGGTGTTGGAGGACTGGGGAGGAATGGAGACGCTAAGGAAATGGAGACTAGTTCTGGACAACTCATCCAAGAGTTGGTTATAAAGTGGTAGAGAGAGAGGATTGGTAACTGGGGAGAAATCAAGGGACAGAAAGAGAGCTCGTTTTTTGTTTTTTTTTTTCCATGGTTTTAACCTGAACGTGTTTTGGGTGTTCCTGGAAAAGAACAAGATAAACAGGAGTGGCTGAAGACCAGAGACAGAGACAGAATGGGAATCCCAAGTCCTAGAGGATATGGAAAGAGCACAGGTGGCTTCAGTGAGAAGGAGGAGTGGCCTGTCTTTTAAAACTAGGTTACAAATAATTGTTGGATAAAGTGAAAAAGGAGCTGTCCAGGGAAGCTTAATAGGGGGTTAACCAAATGAAACAACTGGTTTATAACATTTTTTTGTCTAAGGTGAAACGTACTAATTTTGTTTCCTGGAAAGTGTGACAAGTGGAGGTTTTCCCCAGTTAAATTCTGTTGCCCCCACCACTTTCTGTAGTAACTCCAGGTCCTTTATCTGAGTTCAGGTTGACCTCTAATAGTTATGCAAAATTCTTTCGCTTCATGTTTGTGTCTTCTGTCGAGAAATGGGCAGTCACAAATGGAACCTTTGATACACTTCGCAACCAAAAGCCTCTATGTCAATCCTCCCGTAAAGTGAATTATCAACCCCTTGTTTACTGAGTGTTGATTTCATTTACCAGACCAGAAGCCTAGCTTATTTCTATAATTTCTATCATAGGCAGAGCTTACTTTTAAAGGTCTAATCTAGGGGCACCTGGGTGGCTCGGTTGGGCGACAAACTTCGGCTCGGGTCATGATCTCGCAGTCTGTGAGTTCGAGCCCCGTGTCGGGCTCTGGGCTGACAGCTCAGAGCCTGGAGCCTGCTTCGGATTCTGTGTCTCCTACCCCTCCCCTGCTCACGCTCTGTGTCTGTCTCTCAATAATAAATAAACGCTAAAAAAAAATTTTTTTTAATAAAAATAAAAACAGTTAAAACTGTTCCCTTACTAGAGAATTCATTAATGCTTTCACTTCGTGAGGAGTCTTCCTGCTACACAGCAACTAGTTCCTGAACAAAAGACATACTTTTTCAAAAAAATTTTTAATGTTTATTTATTTTTGACAGAGACAGAGCATGAGTGGGGGAGGGGCAGAGAGAGGGAGACACAGAATCCGAAGCAGGCTCCAAGCTGTCAGCACAGAGCCCGACGCGGGGCTCGAACTCACAGACTGCGAGATCATGACCTGAACCGAAGTCGGACGCTCAACCGACTGAGCCACCCGGGCGCCCCAAAAGACATACTTTTAAATGTACTGCTAAACTCTCAGGAGGTAAGAGAAACCACCATGGCAGAAAATAAATGGGAGCATGCACGCACATACAAATAAACAAGACAATGCTGTCCTTGGCTCCTGGCAAAAGCAAATTTAAGTCCTTTCTGGAGAAGAGCAACCTCAGTTCAGACCAACCAATGAAAGCTCCATATCTAAGATCAACAAACCACAGGTGAGAATCAGCAGAGACACAACTCCCAAGGACTTCAAAGAATAGAACTATCCAATAGAGAATAATGATAAACTAAAGGATTAAAAAATAGAATCACAAAAATAAGTAAGAAATAAGGCACAATGAAAGGATTTGATATGATGAAAAATGAAAATTCAGGAATGAAAGATTGTTGGAAACAAACCTAATTTGATGGATTTAACTGCAGGTTGAAGAAAATTAGTGAATTGTAAATTGGAGCTGAAGAAATTACCCAGAATGAAAAAAAAAAAAAAAAAAAGAGAGACAAATAGATAAAAAATACAAAAGAGAGGTTAAAAGTTAAAATGAAAAAGTCTAACATACAAATAAATGGAGCCCCAGGATGAGAGAATGGTAGAGAGGCAAATTTTAAAGAGATAAGGGCTGAGGATTTTCCAAAAGCAATGAAAGACTGAAATCTAAAAAAAGCAGAAAGTGTAATGCATGCCATCAAGCAGGAAAACAAATTTGGAAAATGAAACCACACCCAGACACACTAAGAAGCTCAAAAAGCAGCTGGAGAAAAGTGACAGATTATTTGCAGTTATGAAATTATAACAAACTTAACCAATGGAAATCAGAAAATAGGGATCTAATATCTTGAAAGTGCAGAGAAGAAATGTCAACTTAGAGCAAAACTAATCTTTAAGAAAGAAGGCAAAATAAGGACATTTCAGATATATAAAAATTAGAGAGTTTACCAATAGTTCTGATCTCAAGAACTACTAAAAAGTACACTTCAGATAGAAGGAAAACGATCCCAAACGGGGAACAAAAAAAACAAGAAGGAATGATAAGCAAAGAAATAGTGACCATACAGGTACATCTAAACAAGCCATGTCTATATGAAATAATAATCATGTCCACTTACATGGGTGCTTTTTTAAAAGGCACACTAAAAGACTAGACAACAATGACATGTAAGGTGACTGAGTAAATGATTGAGTTAAAATGTTCTGAGACTCTTGTATCTGTTTGAGAGTGGGAGAAATTACGGACCAATTCAGATTTTGTGAACTAAGCTTGGAAAAATGCCAAAGGTAACCACTAAAAACCTTAAAATATAACATCCAAATCCTAAGGGGAGGAAAAAATGAAATAAAACAAAAATTTCAATTCTTAAAAAAGCAAGAAAAGAAAAATAGCATAGAAAAAGCAGCAGATATCAAAAACAAAAAGCAGATGTTAGAAACAAATCCATCTATATCAATAATCACAATAAATACAAATGCATTAAACTCTTGAGTTAAAAGATAGAGACTGCCAGATCGGATTTTTCAATATAGTTATATGCTATCTACAAGTGGCATACCTAAAAACTAAAGATAAACTATAGATAAACTAAAGATAAACTATAAAGATATAGTTTACTAAAAACTATAGTAAAAAATGTGTTAGGCAAAAACAAACCAAATGAAAGTTGAGGTGGCTAGATTATTATACAAAGTACACTTTATGTCAAAGAACATTATTAGGGATAGAGATAGTCACTGTATAATGATGAAGATTTAAATATTTTAGAATTGTATGTACTTAATAATGCAGCTTCAAAATACATAAAGCAAAAAAAGGGAGGAAATATAGGGAAATTTATCATTACTGGGAGATTGCAACAAACAAAAAGTTGTCTGTGTGTGGGTTTAATTTTTTTTTTTTAATCTCTCAGCAAAATAGGAATAGAAGGGAATTTCCTTAATCCAACAAAGGTAATCTATTAAAACTTTACAGCAAATATTATTCTTAATGGTGAAATGTTAGCAGCAGTTCACTTACAATCAAGAACAAAAATGCTCACGATCACCACTCCTACTTAAGATTGTACCAGAGGAAGGGCTGCCTGGGTGGCTCAGTGGGTTGAGCACCCAACTTCGGCTTAGGTCATGATCTCATGGTTCGTGGGCTCAAGTCCCATGTTGGGCTCTGTGCTGACAGCTCAGAGCCTGGAGCCTGCTTCAGATTCTGTGTCTCCCTCTCTTTCTGACCCACTTGTGCTCTCTCAAAAATAAATAAAACAGGGGCGCCTGGGTGGCGCAGTCGGTTAAGCGTCCGACTTCAGCCAGGTCACGATCTTGCGGTCCGTGAGTTCGAGCCCCGCGTCGGGCTCTGGGCTGATGGATCAGAGCCTGGAGCCTGTTTCCGATTCTGTGTCTCCCTCTCTCTCTGCCCCTCCCCCGTTCATGCTCTGTCTCTCTCTGTCCCAAAAATAAATAAACGTTGAAAAAATAAATAAATAAATAAATAAATAAAACATTAAAAAAAAAAAAAAAAAGAATTGTGCCAGAGGTACTAGCCAATGCGAAAGAAGAAAATAGTACATGAAACAAATGGTATATATAGAACAAGAGAAAAAGACACAAAACTCATTATTTACAAGTAATAATTTCCTATACTGGAAACCCGAAAGAATCTACAAATCTTTATAGGTAATAAGAGAGTTTAGCTATTCTTCTTCTTCTTCTTCTTCTTCTTTTTTTTTTTTTTTGAAGGGAGAAAGAGCAAATTGGGGGGGGGGGGGAGGGGCAGAGGGAGAGGGAGGATGTTAAGCAGGCTCCATGCCCAGCTTGGAGCTGACTGGGAGCAGGGAGAGGGTGGGGGAGGGCGCCTTGATTTTAGACCATGGTGAGATGATTTGAGCTGAAATCAAGAGTCAGATGCTTAACCAACTGAGCCACTCAGGTGCCCTGAGAGTTTAGCTATTCTTTTTATTTAAAGGTTTTTTTTTAATATTTTTTTTACTGATTTTGAGAGAGATGGAGGGAAGGGCAGAGAGAGGGAGAGAATCCCAAGCAGGCTCCATGCTGTCAACACAGAGCCTGACACAGGGCTCGACCCCACAAACCTCGAGATCACGACCCAAGGTGAAATCAAGAGTCAGACACTTAACCAACTGAGCCACCCAGGTACCCTGAGCTATTCTTAAATACGTTTGAATAACTAAAGGAAATCATGTCTAAATAACTATGGAGAAGCATGAGAATGATCCCTCACCAAACAGTATCAACAAAGAGACAGGAACTGACCATGCTGGACCTTGAATCCTGGACTTTCCAGGGTCCAGAACTATGAGGAAATTAATTTGTTTATGCCACCCAGTCTATGGTATTTGTTATGGAAGCCTGAGGGAGGCCAGAAGGCAGAAAGATGACATATTTAAACTGCTGAAAGACAAAGAGAGTCAACCAAGAATTCTAAATCCAGCAAAACTATACTTGCCATATGAGGGACAAGGAGATTCACTTCAACATGACAGTGTGAGGAGCTCCACTGACCACTCCCTAATGAAACTGGTGAAAATTAGTTTTTAAACCAAGCATTTAAGGCATCTGGAAATGGTCTTTAGCAAATCACAAATGACAAAACATAGAAGAAAATCTACCCCCCAAAATTGGTAAGAAAGGCAAGTGTGTGGTGTCTGAACCAAGACCTCTCCCTCTCTGCCTCTTCCAGCTCGGTAAGGTGAACACTCCAGAATGCTGTAGCCAAGAACCTCAGGCCACCAGCTGAAGCAGGTAAAGAGCTCTCTTCCCAGGAGAAGCAGAACTTCAGGGCTTCCCATTGTATCCCCAGCTTCCTATGGCTGAGGCTAATTCCAAGCAAGTACTGTTGAGAGGTGCAGCCTCCTTTCTTCTGCTCAGCCCCCACTCGTAGAACAGAGGCCCCTACCTTGGGTGTGGCATGCTGAGAATACTGGGCCCCCAATTACCCTTGTTCCAGCTCATGAGGTAGTGGCTCCATGCCAGGAGAGGCAAACCAAAGAGACTTCAGGCTGCTGCCACCACCCTACAGTCATCACTCAGCTCCTAGAGCTGGACTCAAAAGCTTGCCATTGTTCCCACCCATAGCTCTAGAGCCCTGGCTCAGCGATTTGTCTAAGCCAGAGAAGCAGGCTATAAAATGGGAGAGCTCCTAATCTTTTCCCAAAGGAACTGACTTCATTTTCAACAGAGCATGGAGAAGTTCAAACCTAAGGGCGCTGTCAAGAACACTGGAGGTTTTGAAAAAAGGCAACGGGGAGATTTCATGGATTTTTAAGAAAATACAGCCTAGCTGTCAGCTGGCTAGTTTACAAGAGAACCATGGAGAGAGATGGCGGGAAGGAACCCTCCTGGGGTCAGAACAAATATCAAACACAGAGCTTAGAAGCTACTCCTTCTAAGGAGCCACACTTTGATTGGATTAGTCTGTAGAACAATTTGTGCCCCAGGGCATTACTGGAAACAATAGAGCAATCATCTAGCAGTTAGTGGAGTTTAACAGCTAGACTGTGGTCAGGGAAAGAAGAAGAACCCTACCAACACCACTGTCATCCCAAGGGAACTGTGGGTATTTCCAAGTTGGAAATACACTGTACAGCAGGGAGGAAATAGATGTCATTAAAATAATCCACTCACTAAAAAGCAAACAAGCAAATAAAAATAAAATAAAAATAAAAAGCCCTGGGTGTGTGTGTGTGTGTGTGTGTGGCGGGGGAGGGGAGGAGTTATACACTACCTAAAATGTCTAAGTTTCCAACAGAAAATTAGGAGGCATGCAAGAAACAGGAAAATACAACCCATACCTTGTGAAAAAATAATAAGGCAACAAAAACTGCCTGTGAAAATGACCAGATACCAGATTTCACAGAAAAAACTTCCAAATACCCATTAGAAATATGTTCAAATATGAAAGAAATGAACATATTCACAGGTAAACAAAAACTAATATTATTAGTATATATATAATTTATATAATAAATATAATTAATATAATATAATATATAATATAATATAATATAATATAATATAATAAGAGATAATTCATCACTAGCATAGCTGCTATTACAAGACATACGAAAGGGAGTCCTTCAGGACAAATTAATAGGACACTAGGTAATAACTCAAATCCACATGAAGAAATAAAGAACACTGGTAAAGGTAACTACAGAGATAGATACACAAATACACCCTTTATTTGTAACTCTTTCTCTCATCTTGTCACCGAGACCCCAAGACCTGGCCTGCGTACCTGCTTGTACCCACTGACCTTTGACCCACATTTTTCCTCAAGCCCTTCTTCCTAGCTTATCTCTGAATTCAGGCAAAAGACCCTACAGGTGTAACATCCCAGTGATGGAAACCAAAACTATCCCTCAAGCAATAATGACTGGATTTTGTTCAACAACTCACCTGGTGTAGTTTCTGTGATTCACCAAGGAGTGGATACATATTAGTTTGTTTGCAATCTGAAAGACAACACAAAGCAATAATTACATATCTGTGTTGATGGGCACACAGTGTATAATGATGTAATTTGTAAAACAGCACAAAGGAGGGAGGACAGAATAAACAGGAGCAACGTTACTGAAATGAAGTTACTATTGAAACCAAGTTGGTTACAAGTTGGTTATTAACCCAAACTAAATGGTTATAAGGTAATATATCAATTAGAAGTCCCAACACAACCAATAAGAAAATAAGTTAAAATATATAGTAAAAGAAATGACAAGGGAATTGAAATTGCACACTAGAGGGGCGCCTGGGTGGCGCAGTTGGTTAAGCGCCCGACTTCAGCCAGGTCACGATCTCGCGGTCCGTGAGTTCGAGCCCCGCGTCGGGCTCTGGGCTGATGGCTCAGAGCCTGGAGCCTGTTTCCGATTCTGTGTCTCCCTCTCTCTCTGCCCCTCCCCCGTTCATGCTCTGTCTCTCTCTGTCCCAAAAATAAATAAACGTTGAAAAAAAAATTTAATAAAAAAAAAAAAAGAAATTGCACACTAGAAAATGTCTATTTAACACAAGAGAAAGAAAGAATGGAGAAACCGAGGAATAAAAAAGAAGACAGAAAACAAATAGCAAGATGGCAGTCATTAATCCTACCTTATCAGTAATTACATTAAATGTAAAAAGATTTAAAATTCCAGTTAAAAGGCAGAGATTGGCAGAACGAATTTGGTTTTATATGACCCAACTATCTGTTGGCTGCAGAGGCACACAGTAGACTCAAAGTCACAAAGAGGTGGAAGTAAAAGGATGGAAAAAGATACACTGGGCAAACAGTACAAAAAAACAGAACTATATCATGAAAGACTATACAATAAAAGACTACCAGACTTTAAGACAATATTTGTTACTGGAGACAACACTTCATAGTAATAAGCATCAACCTATCAAGAATTTATAACAGTTATAAGCATATATGCACCTAACAATAAAAATGCATCAAGTAAAAACTGTCAGAATTGAAGAGAGAAACAGACCACTCAACAATAATAGTTGGAGACTTAAAGAGCCCATTTTCAGTGACGAGTAGAAAATCTTGATAAAAGATCAATAAAGAAATGAAAGAATTGAACAATATTATAAGCCAACAAAACACATATCTATAGAACACTCCATCCAACAACAGCAGAATATACGTTCTCAAGTACACATGGAACATTTTCCAGGACAGACTATGCAATAGGCTACAAAACCAGTCTCAATACATTTTAAAAGACTGAAATACAAAGTATGTTCTCCAACCACGGTGGAATAAAACTGGAAAACAACAGAAAAACACTTTGGGAATTCACAAATATGTGGAAATTAAGCAACATACCAGCTGGGCAAAGAACACATAACAAGTAGAAATTAGAAAATAATTTAAGATGAATGAAAACAAAACCACAATATACCAAAGCTTATAGGATACAGCTAAAGCAGTGCTTAGAGAAAAATTATAGGTATAAATACTTATATTTAAAAAGAAGAAATAGGGGTATCTGGGTGGCTCTGCCGGTTAAGTGTCCGACTCTTGATTTTGGTTCAGGTCATGATCACACAGTAATGAGATCAAGCCCCACATCGGACTCTACACTGCCAACAGCACGAAGCCTGCTTGGGATACTCTCTCTCCCTGTCTCTCTGCCCCTCCCCTGCTCTCTTTCTCTCTCACTCACACATTCTCCCTCAAATTAAACTTAAATAAATACACACATACATACACACATACAAACATCTCAAATCAGTAACCTAAGAAACTAAAAAAGCAAAAGCAAAGGAAACCCATAAAAAGTAGAAGAAAGGAAAATAAGAAAAGAGAGTGGAAATAAGGAAAACAGAAAAGAGAAAAACAATAGAGAAAAACAATTCACAAAACAAAAAAATCGATTCTTTAAAAAGATCAGCAAAATGGACAAACCTAGACTGAGCAAGAAAAACAGAAAGAAACCTTAAATTACTAAAACCAGAAATGAAAGTGGATACATCACTACCAACCTTCCAGAAATAAAATAGATTATAAGAGAATACTATGAGCAATTGTCTGCCAACAAATTAGATAGATTTCTAGGACAAATTCCTAGAAAGTCACAAACTACTGACACCAAGTCAAGAAGAAAATCTGAACAACCTATAACAGGTAAAAAGATTGAGTTAGTGATCAAAAAAACTTCCTACAAAGAAAAGACCTAGAGAAGGAGGCTCCACCAGTAAATTCTAACTAATTTTAAAGAAAAATTAATCATAATCCTTCACAAATACTTTCAAGACATAGAAAATATGAGACATTTCCTGTTATGGGTTGAACTGTGTTCCCCCCAAATTCACATGTTGAAGTTCTAATCCCCAGTACCTCAAAATGTGACCTCATGTGAAGATGGGGTCTTTATGTTTTCTTTTTAATATTTACTTATTTTTAAGAGAGACCAAGCGCAAGCAGGGTAGGGACAGAAAGAGAGGGAGACAGAGAATCCGAAGCAGGCTCCAGGCTCTGAGCTGTCGGCACAGAGCCTGATGCGGGTCTTAAACTCACAAACCGCAAGATCATGACCTGAGCCAAAGTTGGAAGCTCAACCAACTAAGCAACTGAGGCACTGGAGATGGGATCTTTACAGAGGAAGTAAGTTAAAGTAAGGTCATTAGGGTGGGCCCTAATCTGACTTATGTCCTTATAAAAAGGGGAAATTTGGATAGATGTACACATAGAAGGAAGATGATATGAAGGTTCACAGGAAGAAGATGGCCATCGACAAGCCAAGGAGACAGGCCTGAATAGATCCTTCCCTGGCCATCTCAGAAGGATACAATCCTGCTGCCACCTTGATTTTAGATTTCTAGACCTAGGAGAACTATGAGACTATATGAGTCAAGAACTATAAGACAATGAATTTTTATTGGTCAAGCCGCCCAGGTTGTAGTACTTTGTTACTACAGCAGCCTATCTAATACACTAATACACTTACTTCCCAGCTCCATCTAGGTAGCCATTATCACCCTGACAATGAAACCAGACAAAGGCATCACAAGAAAACTACAGATCAATACCCTTTATAGATATTGACACTCAAAACAAATCCTTAATAAAATACTAGAAAACTGAACCCAGTAACATATTAAAAAATGTTACAAATCATGGCCAAGTAGAAAAATCAATGCCATATGCCATATTAATGGAATTAAGAACAAAAATCACATAACCATCTCACTAGATGTGTAAAAAAGCATGTGAAAAACCCAACACTTTTTCATGGTAAAGATACAGGATAAATTAAGTATAGAAGGAAACTTCTTCAGCCTGATAAAGGGCTTATATGAAATATCCCTACCTAACATCATAGTTGATGGCGAAAGACTGGATGCCTTTTTCCTAAGATGAAGAGGAAGACAAGGATGACCTTGTCTTGTCTTACGAGTCTCACCAAATTGTACTGGAGCCCTAGCCTGGACAACTGGGTAAGAAAAGACATACATAAAAGGCATCCAGATTGGAAAGGAAGAAGTAAATTATCTCTATTTACAGATGACATGATCTGTATATAGAAAATTCTAAGGAATCTACTAAAAGAGCTAATAAATGAATTCAGCAAGGCTTCAGGATAGAAGATCAATACATAAAAATTAGTTGTACTTATCTGAGCAATGAACAATACAAAAATGCAATTAAGTAAACAATTCCAGTAGTAGTATCATCAAAAATACTAGAATACTTAAGAATAAATTTAACTCAAGAAACAAGAAAAATCTCAAATTAGCAATCTAACATTGCACCTAGAGGAACTAGAAGAAGAACAAAGATAGCCCGAAGTGATCAGAACAGAAGCAAAAGAAATACATAGAGGCCAAACAAACAAAAAATAGGAGAAAAAAAAGTGTAAAAAAAATCAGTGAAACCAGGAAACCAGGATTTGGTTATTTTAAAAGATAAATACAATTGATCAGTCCTTAGCCAGACTCATCAAGAAAAAAAGAGAAAGGACCCAAATAAATAAAATCAGAAATGAAAGAGAAGTAACAATTAACATACAAGGGACTATAAGAAAATAGTACAAAAAAAATATCTGCTGACAAATTGGACAACCTAGAAGAAATGGATATATGCCTAGAAACATACAGTCTTTCAAACTGAATTAGGAAGAAACAAAATCTGATTCATTACTGATTACTGCTAATGAAATAAATTGGTAATCAAAAGCTACCAAAAAATAAAGTCCAGGGCCATATGGATTCACAAGTGAATTCTACCAAACATTTAAAGAAGAATTAATACCTTTTCTCTTCTAACTATTCCCATAAAGAGGAAGGAAAGCTTTGAAATACATTCTATGAGACCAGCATTACCCTGATACCAAAACCAAACAAAGACACCACAAAAACAAAAAGAAAGCTACAGGCCAACATCCCTAGTGAACACAGATGCAAATGAGCCTCAACAAAATATTAACAAGCTGCATTCAACAATACATTCATCACAATCAAGTGGGATTTATTCCAGGATGGCAAAGATGATTCAATATTTGCAGGTCAATCAATGTAATACATCACATCAACAAAATGAAGGATAAAAATCATACGATCATCCCAATACAGAAAAAGCACTTGACAAAATCCAACATCCTTTCCTGACAAAAACTCTAAACAAAGTGGGTTTAGAGGGACCATACCCCAACATAATAAAGGCCATATAGGAAAAACTTACAGCTAACATCATATTAAAAAAAATATGATATTAAAAATGGTTAAAAAAGTGAGAGGTTTTCCTTTAAGGTCAGGAACAAGACCAGAATGCCCACTCTCACCACTTTTATTCAACTAGTACTAGGAGTCCTAGCCATGGCAATCAGACAAGAAAAAGGAATTAAAAGCATCAAAATTGGTAAGGAAGAAGTGAAACTGTCACTATTTGGAGATGACATGACACTATAAATAGAAAATCCTAAAGACTCCACAAAAAAACTACCAGAAGTAACAAACGAATTCAATAAGGTTGCAGGATACAAAATACCCAGAAATCAACAGTGTTTTAATATCCTAGTAACAAAGTAGCAGAATCAGAAATTAAGAAAACAGTCCCATTTACAATTGCACCAAAAATAATAAAATACCTAGGAATCAACTTAACCGACTAAGTTAAAGACTAAAACTATAAAATACTGATGGGAAACAATTGAAGACAACACAAATGGAAAGATATTTCATGCTCACGGATTAAAAGCATTAATATTGTTAAAATGCCCGTACTACCCAAAGCAATCTACAGATTCCATGCGATCCCTATCAAAATACTAACGCATGATCTCGCAGTCTGTGGGTTTAAGCCCTGCATTGGACTCTGTGACAACAGCTCAGAGCCTGGAGCCTGCTTCAGATTCTGTGTCTCCTTCTCTCTCTGCTCCCTCCTCCACTTGCGCTCTCAGTCTCTCTCTCTCTCTCAGGATAAAATAAACATTGAAAAAAAAAAAAAAAAAGAAGTACGAACCAGTTACGCAAGTGGCCAAAACTGCAAGATTTTATAAGAAATCTATGTCGACCATTTGCACAATATTAAAGAAGAGAAGAAATAAGGGGCCTAGATACAGCAAAAGGAGTCATGAGAATATCAAAGCAATGGCCACGTGTTCTGGAAGATGTAGCAAAGTTGCTTCTGGTTTGGATAAAGGAGAAGCAACTAGGAGGTGATACTGTGACCGAGAACTTTACCTGCGAGAAGGCAAAGGCCTTGTGTGCTGACCTAGTAAATAAACTGCCAGGTGCGTCAACAGAAAACGAGGAAGGCTTCAAGGCAAGCAGGGGATGGTTTGATAACTTTAAGAGAAGTGGCTTCCGTAGCGTTGTGAGGCACCGAGAGAGTGCGAGTTTGGACGCTAAGGCAGCTGAGGCGTTCGCTATCAAGTTCCAGAAGCTCATGGTTTCTGAATGTTACCTGCAGAAGCAAGTTTTTAACTACGATTAGATGGGGCTTTTTTGGAAAAAGATGTCAAAGAGGACCTACATTACAGAAGAAGACAATGCAGTGCCCGGTCACAAGCCCGTGAAAGACCATCTCACCCTCCTGTTTGTGCTAAGGCAAGCAGGGATTTCAAAGTCAAGCCCCTGCTCCTGTATCATTCCAAGAATCCATGAGCCTTCAGGAAATGCAAGGTGCAGAAGAGCCAGTTAAACGGTCTGTGGAGGTCCAACAGCAAGGCTTGGGTCACTTATATCTTGTTCGTGGTGGATCAGCGAGGTCTTCGGCCCTGCAGTGAAGAAATACCTTTTAGAAAAGAATTTGCCATTCAAAGCCTTGCTGGTTACGGATAATGCTCCTGTTCCTCCTTCAGGCTCTTAAAGCAATTTACTGGAGGAATTTGAGTTCATTAGAGTCAAGTTCCTTCCTCCCAACACCACTCCAATCCTCTAGCCCATGGAACAGCAAGTCATTTCGAACTTTCAAAAGCTTTACACCAAAGTACTATGTCAGTGATGCTTCGAGGTGACCGAAGGAACAAACCTCACCTTCCAAGAGTTTTGGAAAAATCATTTCCACATCACGAACTGCCTCAAGATCATCGATGAAGCCTGGAATGGGGTTACCAAGAAAGAGAATCTTCAACTCTGCTTGGAGAAAACTGTGGCCTGATTGTGTTCTTGCCTTCTTAGAGGGGCTTGCCATGAACACGAAGCCACCCGTTGTCAATGAAATTGTGTCTTTGGGGAAGACCATGGGACTGGAGGTGAATGAGGACGACATTCAAGAGCTGGTGGAGGAAGATAGGCAGAAGCTGGCCACCGACAAACCAATGGAGATGTCGTCTGCAGAGGAGGAGGAGAAAAAGGTAGAGGAATCCCTCACTTCAAACGAGATCAGGGAGATGTGTGAAATGTGGGAAACAGCGCAAAATCTTGTAGAAAAGCACCACCCGTATAAGTCTGTAGTAGTGCGAGCAATGAATCTGTTTAACGACAATGCAATGTCACATTTCCGCGAAATCCTCAAAAGGAGGCCAAAGCAAGTGTCATTGGATAGGTTCCCTGGTAAGTTGTACAAAAAGAAAAAGTTGCACAAAAAAGAAAAAGATTCATAGAGAGCAGTGATTCCATTAGTGATAGTGAAAGCTGTCCTACACAATAACCCTCCTCTCTCATCTCCCTCACACCAGCCACAAAGGTTTTCAAAGGCAAGTGCAGGTTAATTTATTTTTCTTACTATTTTCTATTTTCTTTATTTCTATATTACAGTATTTTAATCATTTTATATGAATATTTTTGGGTTGTGGAACGAATCATCTGAGTTTCCATTATTTATTGGGAAATTCGCTTTGATAGACAAGTGCTTGGATTACAAGCATGTTTCCAGAATGAATTATGCTTGCAAACCAAGGTTTTACTGTATTTTTATTTATTATGATTTTTAAAGTAGGCTCCACGCCCACTGTGGGGCTTGAACTCACAACCCTGAGATCAAGAGTCAGTTGGGGTGCCTGGGTGGCTCAGTCGGTTAAGCGTCCAACTTCAGCTCAGGTCACAATCTCGCGGTCCGTGAGTTCGAGCCCCCTGTTGGGCTCTGGGTTGACGGCTCAGAGCCTGGAGGCTGCTTCCGATTCTGTGTCTCCCTCTCTCTCTGCCCCTCCCCTGTTCATGCTCTGTCTCTCTCTGTCTCAAAAATAAATAAAACGTTAAAAATAAAAAAAAAAAAGAGTCAGTTGCTCTATTGACTGAGCCATCCAGGCACCCCACTAGGTAAATTTTACGATATGTGAATTATAACCCAGCTAAAAGAAAGAAAATGATTCAGAAGTAAATGGGAAGAAATTTTAAGAATACCATAACCAATTTAATCAACATTCTCCTTATATGGGTTCAGAAGAGTGATTTATGATGAAACTGCTTTTCAAATAAACTGAGAAGAGAGCATTATGTCATTTTTTTAATCTAAAGTAATTTGCCTTTTATTGTTGCACCAAAATCATGTTACATCTTACATGGCTTCTTAGAGTCGGTGGAATATGGCATGACCAACGTGGCATTGCAGGTTACTGGGGAAAAGGAGGTAATGATAATAAATGGTTCTTGGCAAATTGATTACATATGTGGAGAAAAAATCCCACCTCACACCATTTACTAAAAACAATTCCAGATAAAGACTCAAGCTTCAAAGGTAAAACATTAACACTTAAAGGAGAAAGTACAGAACATCTTTATGACAAAGGGGCAGAGAAAGACTCCAACAAGACACAAAAGGCACTAAGCGTAATAGAAAACAATATAGGCAACTACACTGTGAATTTTCTTAAGCCACTGAATTGTACATGTTAACATGGTGAGCTTTATACTATAGGAAGTTTACCTCAGGAAAAATATTAAAAATTCTTGTTTATCAAAAGGCACCTTAAATAATATTAAATAATAACTACACTGGAATTAAAATAAAAACTTAACATTAAAGTCTCATATTTAAAAAAAGAGAGAAAATATATTTTGCAAAAACTAAAATCAATTTTTGAAAAGTGACACCCAAAAAGAAAACTGGAGAAAAGACGTGAACAGGCAATTCATAGAAAAAGATATATGGGGGGGGGGGGGGGAAAAAAACCAAGAAGAAAAAAAGAAAATGAAGGAGAATGCCAATGAAGACCACAACAAAGAGCAAACTATTTCCACTGAGCAAAGGTGGAAAAGACGTCTGACAAGTATTGGCACACATGTGGATCTGTGAAGACTTTCGTATTCTGCCAGTGACCGCATAAATTGATGCAACAGCTTTAGAAAACAATTTAGCATTACCTTGTAATGTCAACTATTTGCCAACTAACAATCTGTGATTTTCCCCCCTGGCTATACTTAGAAACCTTCCTGTAGGTGTACAAGAGCAAACGTCTATACGAGAATTCATGGGCATTCTGGGAAGGCAGCAACATTGGTGTTGTAAATGTGTAATCTCTCCAAATTCCCCATAAAGACACAGGGCAGCCAGGATTGCAAAACTAAAATCCCCTGGGCAATAATTATGACAGACGATCACATAGCTCTTTCAAACCTAAAACTGAACGAGTAGAAACACACCTACAAGCCCTGCATGGCGCAGCAGCTGAGTCAGAGGAAGCAACAGAGTATGCGTCAGACCTAAGAACTTCAAAATAAACCAACAGGCAACCATGGGAAAGCCAGTGGGCCAGTTAGAGAAGGGCACCTGACATGGGCAGGGATCTGCTTTCTCTGACAGTGGGTGAGTCCAAGGGGTGGAGTGTGAAGGGACCCGGGAAGACTGAGTCCAAAAAACACTCAGAGCTGACCAGCCCAGGCTCCCCACCAGGACAAACCCCCAGGTGAGGCACAACGGCTAGGAACAGAATCCAAAGGGAGCAGGTCAGGAAAATAGAGAAAAGAAAAAGAAGATCCAGATAAAAGTAGCAGAGGCAGAGTCACTCAAAAAGTGAGGTGCTGCTGTTCTTTACTACTTAACCTAAATGACAGAAGGTACTCTAAAGTTGCGAAATTAGAATAACTCCTTTTTTTTTTTAACGTTTTATTTATTTTTGAGACAGAGAGAGACAGAGCATGAATGGGGGAGGGGCAGAGAGAGAGGGAGACACAGAATCGGAAGCAGGCTCCAGGCTCTGAGCCATCAGCCCAGAGCCCGACGCGGGGCTCAAACTCACAGACCGGGAGATCGTGACTTGAGCTGAAGTTGGATGCTTAACCGACTGAGCCACCCAGGCGCCCCAGAATAACTCCTTTTTTAAAGTTTATTTTTTTGAGACAGAGCATGTGAGTGCACACACACACACACACACACACACACACACACACGAGCAAAGTGGGGGAGGGGCAGAGAGAGGGAGAGAGAATCCCAGGCAGGCTCCCCACTGTCAGTGCAGAGCCAGATACGGGGCTCGAACTCATGGACCATGAGCTCATGACCTGAGCCGAAGTCAGAGGCTTAACCGACTGAGCCACCCAGGCACCCCAGAATAACTCTTATATTATACCTCCTTTCTATAAGTTCAGGAAATCTAGTATTATGTAAATGTAAGTCATAGTTCAAAAATCAAATCCCATACCGTTATTCAAGCAAAAAGGAGCAGAATCACATCCCTGTGGACAATGGAAGCAGTCCAGAGACACGCACAGATGGAAACTGTAGCCTAATATTTCAAAATGGCAAGAAGAAGGAGAGGAGATGCAAAGGGAGCCTACAGATTAAGGGAGATTAAAAAGACACTTTGAGGGGCACCTGGGCGGCTCAGGCAGTTAAGCATTGGACTTCGGCTCAGGTCATGATCTCACGGTTTGGGAGTTCAAGCCCCATGTTGGGCTCTGTGCTAACAGTTTAGAGCCTAGAGCCTGCTTTCAATTCTGTCTCTCTCTCTCTGCCTCTGCCCTGCTGGTGCTTTCTCTCTCAAAAATAAATAAGCATTAAAAAAAATTTTTTTTTAATAAAAGACACTTTAAATAAAAAAAATTTTTTTTAATAAAAAACACTTTAAAAAGAAAAAAACAGGCAAAGCTAAATCGTAGAATTTAAGAATGGTTGATAATACAGCAAGAACAGAGGTAATCAGCATAAAAATCAGGCTGGAGGAGGGAGAGTACTGTGTTTGGAAAAGGGACCGTGTCAGGCTGATGAGGTCAGAGTCAGTCTCCTTGCCACAGGGGTGTTTAAATGCATCCCTTTGTTAATTCATTAACTTTCATTTTGTTTTATGCTACATATACATGTGTGTGCTCATATAACGTTATTTTAACAAAACTTTTTTTAAAAAAAGAATGTTTACAGAAGTATTATTCATCATTGCTTCAAAATGGAAACAACCCAAACTCCACTGACAGGGGAATGCATGAATAAATTGTACGATTCACATGATGGCTGAATATTCAGCAATGAAAATAAAATATGCCTTGCTCTAGTGAAACTTAGAAACAATACATAGACTGAAAAACACAAATCGCAAAAAAGGAAACAAACAAAAAGGCCATGGGATACCATTTTTAGAAACTTCAGAAACCAAGCAAAAGCTATACAATACATTGTTTAGAGTATACAGACATATATGATTTTACAAACTCTTTTGGGGGGGCGGGTGGTGCCTGGGTGGCTCAGTCAGTTAAGCGTCCGACTTCGGCTCAGGTCATGATCTTGCAGTTTGTGAGTTCGAGCCCCGCGTCAGGCTTTGTGCTGACCGCTCGGAGCCTGGAGCCTGCTTCTGATTCTGGGTCTCCCTCTCTCTCTGCCCCTCCCCTGCTCACGCTGTGTCTTTCTCTCAAAACTAAATCAACATGAAAAAAAATTTAAATAAAAATTCTTTTAGGGAAGCACGGGTGGTAAATACAAAATTTAGGAAGGAATACTCACATACAGTACTTTTTAAACTACATTCTAAAGGGAAGAGAATGAACGAGAAACCCAAAATTCAGTATGCTTTTTATTTCCAGGGAAGCAACGAGGATGAGATAACGTAGGCGCTCACGAACTTTCTTCTTAAGCTGTGTGGTGGGTTCGCAGTGCACCTCCCATTATGGTTTCATAATTTACAAATATGTTTTTTTCGTGAAGAGTTTATCATATCTGCACACGAAGAGGAAAAAAATGAAAATGTAATTCTTCCCTTTATCAGCCATTTGCTCCTTCACTCAGCCACTCAACAAATAGTTGTTGTGTGCCTACCGTATGCCAGGCACTGGGTGAGGTTCAAGGGCAGGGCACTGAAAAGACACTGCTGCTACCCTCTTGGGGAGCCCAACCTCCAAGGACTGGAGATGGTGCTGAGCGTGAAGTGGCTTTTCAACATCCGCAGAAGAGCCAGCAGCATCCACAGTCAGCAAATCAGTGTGAGGAGGAGTGGGAGATACCTTCCTGGTATCCCTTGACAGAGGTGGCTTTCAAATTAAGGCAATTAAACAGCCAACACGAAACAGCAGAAAGGTCAGACTGGCGCTCCAAGACAGCAGCTCCCAGACACTGCCGACTTGGTTCCAAGAGGAAATTTTAACTTTCTTAAAAATGGAATATACATGGGGCGCCTGGGTGGCTCCATTGGTTGAGCATCTGGCTGTTGATCTTGGCTCAGGTCATGATCTCACAGTTGGAGAGCTCCAGCCCCAAGTTGGGCTCTGTGCTGACAGTGTGGGGCCTGCCTGGGATTCTCTCTGTCTCTCCCTCTCTCTCTGCCCCTCTCTCACTTGCACTCTCTCTCTCTCTCAAAATAAATTAAAAAACTCAAAGAAAATAGAATACACATACATACACACACATACACACACACACACACACACAGATTATTCCAAATTTATGTCCTCCCTCCATTTCTGAGTTAGGATCTCCTTTCATTTATCTATTGACAATGATGATGGACAGTTGCCAGGCTTTGTTATACTTTGGAGAAGTACCGTTTTGTTTAAAAATTTTTTTTATTAGTTTTCTTTATTTTTGAGAGGCAGAGAGAGATAGAGCGTGAGGGAGGGAGGGTCAGAGAGAGGGGGAGACACAGAATCCGAAGCAGGCTCCAGGTTCTGAGCTGTCAGCACAGAGCCTGACGCGGGGCTCGAACTCATGGACCGCGAGATCATGACCTGAGCCGAAGTCGGACGCCCAACCGACTGAGCCACCCAGGCGCCCCACCGTTTTGTTTTAAATGTGCCTTACTTGGTAGAATGAAGACCTGGCGATTCCAAATCAATCTCCAAGATTTAAAGTATTCATTATTTAAATCTCAGAGTCGCAGAATTGTTGTCCAGAGTTGTATTTGAACCCAACGCTTACTTTTCTGGAAGAGAATGTAGGGAAAGTGGGCTCACTCTGCAATAACAAGGAACCGACAGTGTCACGCGGTGGGAGAGAACTTGCCTGGGGTCAGGGGCGGCCTGGGCTGACCCCCCAGCACGGCCGTCAGGGTGGACAAGTTCAGCAGCTTCTCCTCCTGGGCTTGGCGGCTTGATCCAGCAGTGGGAGGTGAAAGCCACCACACAGGCCGTTGTGACAAGTACAGAGAGAATACGTGGACGGTAAAGGAAAGACTACCTGTCATGAGAGCACTGCTTGGCTCCGTTCCTGGCACCTAAGAGCATCCATGCGTGTACTTACACGTGGGTGTGTATATACGGGCATCATGTATATGCTTGCGCATATTATTACAAATACAGCTAGTCCTGCCGGGCGTCTCCATTACAGAGCCAGCCTGCAAGGAGTTTTGTCTGAAGCTCCAGAGATCCTTTGGGTGGAGTGAGCGGTGTCCAAGGTCAGGTGCTTAATTGGCTGGGCCCTTCTTTATCCTGTCGGCCAGGGAGCCAGCACCCGCACTCATTTTATGTAGCCCGCCTTCGCCATCTCTGCCATTCCAGACGGTGCCGGGGCCTTACTGCCTTTATATCAACGTTTTCTGCAAATCGACTCACTTTCTCCCTTGAATACATTAATTTTTAAAGCGCTCCTGTGGAGAAGCAGCATAGCACAGAGGTGAAGAACACAGAGTCTAGGGCCAAGCTGTCAGGGTTTCGACACTGCCTCCACCGCTTTGGAGCCTTATTTAACCCCTTCGTGCCTCAGTTTCCCCATCTATAAAATGAGGGCAATCGTCATTCTTATCTCAGAGGTTTATAATTAGGTTATGCGAATCACAGCACTCTCTCTTTAGAAGCTTTTATTTTTTTTTAATTTTTTTTTTAACGTTTTATTTATTTTTGAGACAGAGAGAGACAGAGCATGAACGGGGGAGGGGCAGAGAGAGAGGGAGACACAGAATCAGAAGCAGGCTCCGGGCTCCGAGCCGTCAGCCCAGAGCCCAACGCAGGGCTCGAACTCATCGACCACGAGATCGTGACCTGAGCCGGAGTCGGACGCTTAACCGACTGAGCCACCCAGGCGCCCCTCTTTAGAAGCCTTTAAAATGAGACTTCCGGAGAGTAAGTGCCATATAAGTTGGCTACATAAGTACTTCTAGTGTCAGTGGGAAAACCAGCATCACTTGCCATAAAGTCTTAAATAAAATTTTAAAGATAAAAACGAAATGGTGTTGTTAAATTCTAGTTAGATATTTACCTGCTAAAACACTTAGTGGAGTAGCCCTGGTCTTCTTAAAAATGAAAAACAGGGCAACTGCGTGGCTCAATCCATTAAGCATCCGACCTCAGCTCAGGTCGTGATCTCAAGGTTCGTGGGTTCGAGCCCCGCGTCGGGCTCTGTGCTGCCAGCTGAAAGCCTGGAGCCTGCTCCGGATTCTGTGTCTCCCTCTCTCTCTGCCCCTCCCCTGCTTATGCTCTGTCTCTCTCTCTCTCTCTCAAGAATAAATAAAACGTTTAAAAAAATTGTTTTTAATGTAAAACACAGAGGACGCCACGAGGCTGAGGATATCTTCAAGACGTGCCAGCAAACTGAGGCAGAAGACCTGGAGGAGAAGACAAGAATAACTTTCTCAATGTACTACCACCTGAAATCATCCCCTGCTGCACTACCGAGTAGGCTCTACCTACTCTGGAAAGGCCAATCGGACGTAAAAAGTTGGGAAAGTGAGAGGCATGCCGAGGGAGCACATATAAATGGAGAGAGGAAGCAGGAACCCCTGTGTTGATCCATTTATCATAACCTCCCCCCCCCCCACCCCCAACCTGTCCCGAGTTGAGAACGAAATACCTTATACTGATAGGCTGGCTCCCAGGTGGAGAATCTGTTTTCACTTTGAATTGAAGTTGTTGTACAAGGCGCTGCTGGGCGGGGGTGGGGTGGGGGGGGGGGGGGTTGGGGTGGGGCGGGGGGGGGGGGGGGGTGGCTACCGTCACCCACCCATCCTCCTCTCCGGTGACTCACCACCTCCCTTCCCAGTAGGTAGGTGATTCCAGATGATACCTCACAGGCAACTTGCCTCCTAGTTTCTTTCACGGGCAGAGCCGGTTCAATTGTCATGTATTTATTCTTTTAACCACCAGTGTCACCTGAGAGGGCAGGCAAGAGCCGGGGACCCTGCCCAACCCCCAACCCGTTCTGTGCAGCGCGGTTACCAGCACCTGCAAAGCGTCAGTCCCCGCGGGGCCCTGATGGACGGGGTGAGTACCCCCGCCACAGTGCCCCCCCACCCCAAGGGGATTAAGGGTGACGTTTAGGAAGCAGAGCTCCATCCCATCCCTGGAGGGAAGGTGCCACAGAGCCATCAACACACAGTTCTGCATAATCAGTTCAACACCAGAACAACGAAAATGGGAAGGGAAGATTAAAAAGTAATCCAAATTTCATAGCCCTGAGGGGTGTGATGGAATGGGAAATCCGGTGAAAGCATAAAGCCCAGAATCATAAAACCCTCTCATCTGAGTCTTTTAAAACCTCGAGGCAGAGGTAGGAAACAACATTCCTGCCCTTAGAAGAATTACCTTAAGTCCTTCTGAAAGAGTGCCCACTTGTGATGTTCTCAGTGGAGAAACTGCAGGGGCTGGCCACTCTAGGCGAGTGTCGGGATAACTCCCTGGGCCAGCTCACAGTGGATCGAGAAGTTGAGACCCCCCCCCCCAACCCCGGAGCTCTCTCCACAGGGTCCCTGGAAGATGCTGGCAACCATCTCCCTCCTGGCTTCAGGCAGGGTGCCAGCGGTGGTATCCAGGAGCAGCATGGGCAAGTGGGGGGTTGGGGGTGCACAGGGATTTCACACCTGGCCACCTGCCAGCCCTCCCGTGCCCTGCTTTCTGTAACATGTTCGGCCAACCCCTGCCCTCTCCACCAGCACGCCTGGGTGCGAGCCCAGGGTTTATACCGGTGCTTTTTCCTCCCTCCATCCTTCGTGTGCACCTCCCTCCCACTCCTTTTTCTCCCCTTTCTCTTCTCTGTGCCCCATTTCTATTTTAGTGCTTAAAGACCGAGATTGGAGGGTTTTCCCACTCTTGGGTACAATAATTGCCAAATCTGGAAAACAGAAATTGGGCTTTGACAATGGCACTGAATCTTGGAAACTGAAACTTCGCAGAAAGTCCAGAATACAAGCTCTATGTGACTGCATGACGAAACGCCCACAGACATTGAGGAGCGCGGCTGAGACAGAGTTGGCTAGCTGGTAGAATCCAGCTTTTCCACCCCGTCACCATGATATGTCACCATGATATGACAACAGCTTCAGACATCGTGCTGATGCCTCCTCTGAGCCACACATCCTTTTCTCCCCCCAAACACTGGGGTTCCTAGAAGCCCCCCATGATGAAGCAGCACCCAACTTCAATTTCCCCATGCCCTCTCAATCTTCATGACCAGAAGAACTCATCTCGCTAATATCGTATGGCCCTTCCAGAACTTTCCAGAATATGTACAGCCCAGCCCTAGTGCGTGTGCCAGGGGAGGATATCAGGTAAAAAGTGTGCATATCCAGCTACCTACCCATCACTGAGCCATACTGCGGGCAGGCCCCTGCCCAGCACCTGACAGACATCCTGTCATTTAATCTGGATGACACCCCAGGCAATGGGTGCTGTTGGCCTAATTTTACACATGAGCAAAATGGGGCTCAAAGTAAACTGTGCAGAGTCATAAAGACCCCCCAGAGGCTCTGTTCTTTTTTTTTTTTTTTTTTTAACGTTTATTTATTTTTGAGAAGAGAGAGACAGAGCATGAGCGGGGGAGGAGAGAGAAAGAGGGAGACACAGAATCTGAAACAGGATGCGGGGCTCGAACTCGCGGACCACGAGATCATGACCTGAGCCGAAGTTGGACGCTTAACCGACTGAGCCCCCCAGGCGCCCCACCGGAGGTTCTGTTCTTAACTACCATGTCGCTGTGCCCGTAGAAGTCCCAAAGAGGGGCAGTCGGTTAAGCGTCCGACTCTAGATTTCTGCTCAGGTCGTGATCTCACTGCACTGACAGTGTGGAGCCTGCTTGGGATTCTCTCTCTCCCTCTCTTTCTGCCCCTCCTCCCTCAAAATAAATAAATAAACTTTAAAAAAGAAAAAGAATTCCCAAAGAGATTTCAATGAATCACTGGGTTTGTGTGATACTAATTTAGGTATATTGTCAAATTACCTCCACCCTGAAAATTCCGTTCCAGGTTTCCTCCTGCTGTAGTAACAACTACATGGAAACACAG